TCAAAGCAGCTTAACACCAGCATCCCTTAGAGAATCAATAACAGCTTTTACCTTTCCGTGATACCGCTGTTCTCTCTTGAAGTGAACAGAAATAGCAGGAATGTTCTTAAGTGAAAGCCGCTCCGCAAGTAGCTTCCCGATCTTCGCAGCTGCAGCAACATCCCGAGTAGTTTCCAAGGTTGATCTTAAAACTTTCTCCTGCGAGCTCGCGGAAGAAGCTACGGTGGCGGTTGGAGTGTGGATCACTTGAGCAGTGACATATTTGTTGGTGAAATGCATCTTCAAAACATAGGGTTTGAGAAAATTTGTAATCCTTGGAGGCCTTACCGGAGGTGGAATAACCATTTCTGTTATGCAATATAATCAAACTTGAAATCAGAATATAGTTTATGCATAACAGAATCGAATATAATGCAAGAAACGAAGAAAGATCTTATAAACTATCAAATTTTTGCATCATTAGAAAACTGTGATTGGCATGGATAATCCTAAACCCTAAGTAGTCAATCGCGGTGGATAGTGGCGCGATTGTGGCGGTGCGGAGGAGAGTGGCCGTTTCCGGTGACAGCGAATCACTGTCGCGGCAGCAACGGATTCATTTGACGGCGTAAGTAGCTGCTGTCGTGGAGATTGGGACTAGGTATAGTGAAAAAAATTGAAATAAAAAAATGAGAGAGAAACCTGAAGAATGACGGTGGAAGGAGGAGGGATGGTGACGGAGGAGTGAAAGGATGAACAAGCGGCGCGTGGTTGAATTACGGTGGCGGCTGCTTTGCTAGGTTAAATGAGAAAGAAGAGCTCAATGAAAACCACAATCTGGTGAAAAATCTCCAAAATGTTCAAAAGAATTTTAATGAAAATGAATAGTTTTTTCAAAAGTAATCATAATAATGGAATTATTAACTCAAAAATAAAGTAAAATAAATGAAATAAGGCTTAAATAATTTTTGACGCTTTTTTAATTTTGATTCTTAAATTTTAAGTCTCTGACAATTGATTTTCTTTTAAGGTTAATTTAAAATTTTCGTTAAGTGTTGAATCTATGAAATTTGTAAAGCCTATTCTAACGAATTATAATGTACAAAAGTCCACCAAAGATATCTTTATAAAACAAATAAGTTAAAGCATAAGCCATGACTTATCCCCACCCCAAATTTATGGTGAATAGAAACGTGTTGAATCACTTTGAAGTGGTATATTCAGATGCGCGTAGACAGAAGCAAGTTGATTTTATTGATGGCAATAGATATTTTGACACATTCATTGACGATCATAGTAGAAAGCTAAGGACATATCTAATTAAGAAAAAGGATAGGATATTTGAAGTGTTTAACAAGTTAAAGTCCATCGTTGAAAGGCAAAGTGATCACAAGCTCAAAGTGTACAAAACAGATGGTGGAGGCGAATATGTCTCAAAAGACTTTGAGAGATTTTGTGATCAAGAAGGGATTGTACATGAGGCAGTATCATCTTATACACCGCAATAAAACGCTGTTTTCGAAAGGAATAATCGATTGATCATGAACATGCTAAGAAACATGTTTAAGGGGAAGAAGTTATTGAAAGAGTTATATTGAGAAGCGGTATCCACAACTACCTATTTGTTTGATATGTGTCCAACAAAGAAGTTTGAGAAGGTAACACCGGAGGAAGCATGGTCGAAATTCAAATCGAATCTGAACCATTTGAAAGTTTTTGGTTTCGTAGCGTATTGACATGTTTCAGGACAGCTTATAAAGAAGTTGGATAAGGGAGAAGTGATGATACTTGTAGGGTATCGCTCTACCGGTGGTTACAAGTTGTTTGATGCAGCAAAGAGAAGGGTTGTGATCAGCCGAGACATCATTGTTGACGAAATCAAGGAGTTGTAGTAGCCTGTAGCCGGTTACGTAAAAGATGTAACCGATTACAATTTTGAAAATTCAGATTCTGCATAAACGGAAAGAGTAGAAACTCTCGTTGCTGAGGCACGCATTGAAGAAAATGTTAAAAGGTAAACAAGGCAAAGAGGTCTGCCTTAAAGACTTCAAGATTGTGAGCTATTCTGATACAACAAAGTCAATGATAATGGTGATTTCATCCATTTTTCACTTATGCTGAACCCAAACTCATTAAAACGGAAGAGACTTTAAGTGATCTAAAGTGGATTTGAGCTATGAAGGAGGAGCTGGAATCCATTGAGAATAACAGTACTTGGGAGTTGGTTAATCTACCGGATGGAAAGAAGCCAATTGGTGTAAAATGGGTGTTCAAAGTGAAGGCAAATCCCAAGGGTAAAATAATCAAGCTTAAGGCTCGACTAGCTGCTAAGGTATTTTTGTAAAGAGAATGCATATACTTTAAAGAGGTATTTGCACCGGTTGCTAGGATTGAAACCATAAGGCTAGTTGTTGGTATTGTGAATAACAACAATTGGCCCATCAACCAAATGGATGTTAAATCTGCGCATTTTAATGGACCACTTGAAAAAGAGGTGTATGTATAACAACCCCTTAGTTTTGTTGTGAGAAACCAAGAGCTAAAGTTCTACAAGTTGAAGAAAGCGTTATATGGTTTGAAGCAAGCTCCAAGAGCTTGGAACAAAAGAATAGATGGTTTCCTAAAGAAGGTTGGCTTCAAGAAATGTGTACTCGAGCATGAAGTGTATGTGAAGACGGATACAAGTGAAGAAGTGATTATCCTTTGTCTATATATACACAACTTATTGATAATGGGCAGTAACAGAAACTTTATTTCAAAGTTTAAGAGTGAACTTACGAAAGAGTTTGAGATGACCGACCTTGGCCTTATGACAATTTCCTTGGCATTGAGTTCTACAAGTTTAAAATGGGACTGCTCATGCACCAAAAAATATATGCACTTGAGATATTGAAGAAGTTTGAAATGGAGCATTGTAATGTTGTTATTACTCTTGTTGAACCAAGGCTGCAGTTGTCAAAGAATGAGGATGAGCAAGATGTTGATCCAACTCAGTATAGGAGGTTGATTGGATCCTTGTGTTATTTGTGCAATACGCGACTGGACTTGGTGTTTAGTGTTGGTATTGCGAGTAGGTTCATGGAGAGACCGAACGTGTCTCACTTGGTAGTAGCCAAGAGGATCCTAAGATATGTCAAAGGTTCTGGTGGCTGTGGATTTCTCTTTCTCGCAGCGGATACGAGCAAAAAATGAAATTTGCTTGGTTTTACCGATTCTAATTGGTGCAGACATAAAGATGATCGAAAGTCTACAACTGGATACATCTTTATGTTTGGTGGAACACTAATCTCATGGTGTTCAAAAAAGGAACCGATAGTTGCACTCTCATCTTGTGAGGTCGAGTATATTGTCACTTTGTTATATGTGTACCAATTCGTGTGGCTAAGGGTGAGGTTGTTACACTCCTGGTTGACAGTGTTTTCGCGATTAATCTTGCTAAGAACTCAATTGCACATGGAAGGAGAAAGAATATTAAGATGAGGTTCTACTACTTGAGGGAACTTATTAGTAAAGGAAGGTTAAGATTGAGATATTGCAAAAGTGAAGACGAGTGGTTGATTTATTGACTAAGAGAGTCACAAATGATGTGTTCAAGACGTTGATGATGAACACGAGCATGGAAGATTTGGAGCACTTGAATTAAGGTGGTGTGTTAAAAGTATTTTGAGTAATTTAAGTGTTATAACCGGTTAACACGGGGGGTAACCGGTTATAGCAAGGGCTTTTTCACTTCTGGACTAAAGAACAAGGCAGATATTTAGGGGTGTAACTGATTACCACTGAAGGTGTTATTAATGTAGTGCCAGCTGTAAGCGGTTAACGATTTAGTGTAATCGGTTACATGCTCGAGTTTTTACATTTCTCAGTTATGTACTTGTATGTTTTAGGTCCCGATCATTTTTTAACAGTTGTATAAATGTTTTGGATGCAGTCTCATGCAATTATCACTCTCACCCTCAATTTTCTCTCTCTCTCTCTCTCTCTCTCTCTCTCTCTCTCTCTCTCTCTCTCTCTCTCTCTCTCTCTCTCTCTCTCTATTTCCTTATTCACTCTTCAAATTCCAATTTTCTCCACCATTATTCACCAATTTTGTGGTTCAAAATTCCAACAGGAAATAAAACCTTGATTAGATATCAACTTTAAAACATAGATATTCCAAAATTCATGTTGTAGCTGAACTTGATACTAGTATGTAAGAGCCTATAATAATACAAAACTATTTTACAAAATAAAAGAATGGGTACTTCATTTAGATACATTTAGATACATGTGAATACTTCTTGTATTCACTTGACTAATTAGTGTCGCGGTGAGAATTGGATGTCAAATTATTAATTAATTTGAATCTTAATTCATTTAGTTCACCACCGGTCATTAATTTGTTCAAAGGAAGGGAAAAAGATCGAATTACCCACAATGCAATGCAAATGCAAAAGCTAGAGAGTTATAGGTTTGAGGGTTGGTTAAACTTAGGGAAGGTGCTAGCATCCTGGGTTTCTATAGTACTCTACAAGAACCTCTTGTTTTATGTTGTTTATTGCTAAGGATTCTCTGCTTAAGGATGAAAAGACCTAGTGGCTTTATTTCTAAGTATACTCGCCAAGACGTTGCATCTTGTGCCTACATATCCTAACGGGAATGGAATCAGAATAATTGTAGTTCCCCAAAAAGGGTTGAGGAACTTCTTTGACTGTTGGTCAAATTTCCAAAGGGATAAGGGTTGTTGATTGATTAGTTCTAAGAGAAAAGACGAGTCATCATCTTAAGGGAGAACACTCGACTTAACCATCACAACTTGTAGGAAATGGCCTTTGCATCATCTTGAGAGAAGGGCTCAAACACTCGGAATAATCGACGAGTATGCCAATATCTCCCTCAAGCGGAAAAGATCCTACATCTCTATTGTATTGTTATGGGGCAGGAGATTTATTTCTCGACTGTCAATATGACTAACATCTTATTCTCTAATAGTTTGAATAGTTTGAATTGAGTTGAATATAGATTATTTATATTGTAAAGATAAAAGAAAAAAGTCCTCCTTAAGGGGTAGGATCTAAACTTAAGTCGATAAACTTAAAAGGGATCAAGGATCGAGTGGGGAATTATGATGCAAGATGAGATGCATACGCACAAGTATTAAGTCATGCGCAGATTCTTCCTTTGGACGTTATGCAATGCGATAAAAGTAAATAACGGTAAAATAAAAGCATACAGATGAAATAAAACAGATAACAATGCTAAAAGAGACAAGTGTGGAAATTGTGAATATCGGACCGGTGCTGAGAGATAGAAACATGCACGATTGATTAAGTTAGGAGAAGTTGGATTTTATGAAAAAGGTTCTTCTCTTAAAAGGTGGATTAAAT